TGATGGTGCCCAAATCAACGTGTGTAATAGAATTTTTTCGAGCGCAAATGAAAGTGTATAGTCGTGTCGCGCGGGACTTCTTTTTTTCTTTTTGTTTTAGTAGTGAAGTCGAAGTACTAATTTTCACGGGATAATTTGTCTCTTTTTAAATGATTTTTTTTTCTTTTTCAGGGCTGAGCTCGACCGAGGAGAGACACGTGAGTAAATAAATAAAATTTTCATGCAATTTTTCGCAGCTGCGACCCTTTTCTCGCGCCGAATGTGCACAGGTGTAGAGATGATGTACGTTCGTTTGCAAAAATATATTACGTTTGGTATATGCGGAGTAAAAATTTCACTTTATAAGAATAAAAAAATTGTCATTGCCTAAAGTCATGATGTTGCTTTTAAATGAACGTGCAGTAACTACGTTCATGTAAATGTATTAGTTGATACTAGTTTTAACAAACTACAAAAATTTTCAAACGAGCTTAAGATAGATAGTAACAATTTGATTCGTTTCTTTATCTATGTAAGTGAATTTTTGTACTCGAAAAATTTTTATTGACAAACATAATTTGAAGTGAGAAAGGAGCAAAGAAACTTTTTTAGGAGTCATATTTCTCCTTTAAATGCGAGATCAAAATTTACACCAAATTTTGCAGCATCAATTTTTAAATTCCAAGCATTTCCGGTCATTAAATAATATCAAATTTTTTTATAACTCGGTAGCTTACACTATATTCATGAATATCGCTAAATGTAATTTTAAATTAAATTAAGCCGATATATCGTTAAATAACTAATGTCAGTATCCAACTGTCTGAACTCCACTCCATAGTGTAATTAATTTAAATATTAACAAAAACTACTCTCACAGCATATTGCTATTAGCAATGACGGCATTACATTGCGCTCCACCGAGCAATTCAGCTTGCCTACGAAACATATAACATTTATCATCGGTTATTACAGCGATTTAACAAAGCACTCTATAAATATCAATCAACATTCTTCCTTATCATAGCAAACACACTTGACTTATGACGTGGGTCCATTGATCGTCCTCGCATGAGTTGCCTTTTAAATTTATTATTTATCTTGTAGAGGCTCTTACGTGCTCTCACTTTTCGTCTCCTTTGCTCTCCCTTCAATAATTGGCGCACTCAACGTGATTTCGGTATATCTGTGGACCCGTTCCATTTCTGCAGTGCGATTCGCATGATTTTGTCATAGAAAGAGAGAGAGAGAGAGAGAGAGAGAGAGAGAGAGAGAGTGTGTGTGTGTGTATGTGTGTGAGGGAGAGAAAGAGAGAGCGAGGGAAGACGTCCCTGAATGAAATTCACGTAAAAAAAGGAATAGAAAGGAGGAACGGCGAGGAACAAAGGCCAGCCCGATACGTGCGCGCGCGTGTAACCCTGGTGCAGAGGATGGGGATAGAGAGAGAAAGAGAGAGAGACAGAGACAGATATACAGACAGAGTGAGAGAGTGTGAGAGAGAGTGAGCAAGAGGGTGGGAGGGAGGGAGGTTGGGCACTCGGAAGGTTGAAATGAGAAGATAGAGGGACTCGTGGAGACTGTGTAGTTGAGCCGCGGTACACGTGAAGATGGAGAAGAGACTCGAGTATTATAGGTTTGCGCCGAGCCTGTAATCATCGCGGGACCGCGAAACGCCCATCGACGCCCTCTTATATTCCTTCACGCTCTCACCATTCTATTTTCTTCGCTCTCTTTTTGAACCTCCGTCCTCGGGGCTTTTTTCTTCTCCTGGCCCTCGCACTTTTGTTCACCTCTTTATTCCGTCCGCGTGTCCATCGCTGCCTCCTATGACCGCCTCCTTCATCATATATATCTCTTCTCTGCAATAATTATCCCCTCGCGCTCTTTGCTTTCGGCTATTGTCTCATTCCCTCGACACGCGTTTCTTCATCTCCCGGGCATCTCCAGCCTCCTCCCGTCCCACCGTTCCTCCTCGCGCCCTCACCAATTTTTTCTCTCTTGGAACGTATTTTTGCCTTTATTACACGTTTAGATAAATTTATTGAAATCCATTCTTTTCTTTTCCACGTAATTTGCAGTTTTGTATTTTTTGTACGTCCGAGCAAGAGAACAAAATCATTAGCGCCCCAGGCTTATCTTTATCATTCTCGCGTGCTTACGATCTTCATTCTTTTTTATTTATTTATTTTTTTTTTTTGCCGTAATTGAGTATTTATATTGCAATAAAAAATAAATGGAAAACAGTACGACAGTGGGAGGAGAGAGTAATACGAGAAATAATTTGAAAAATTCACCAGCCCCGCTCACATCGTCTACCATTAACTATCAGCATCGAGTTGAAATAATAGAAAAACGGCTTTGTAAAGCTCGCATATTATACATTTTCGATTGCTGCAAAACTTTTATCCCGATTCGTTCGGATGGCTTGTATCACGTGACGTCGTACAAATATTATACCGAATGCTTCGGCACGGCTTGGACGGGCGATAAATTCGAAATTTGCGGCGAGCGTCCATAAAATCCTCTATTACTATAGCAACGTGTGTCACCTCGATATAAATCTACCATTGTTCAGCAGTCACTTCATATTCCCCACTGAAAAAGATAGCGATTGAGAGCAAAATATAGAGCTGGAATTATGCAGAGAGAAAGAGGGACAGAGAAAGAGAAAGCGTGCGAGTGAACGAACAAGTGAAGCAGGAGGACAATACAAAAATCCGTTAAGCCTATCGTCGTAGTCGCACCTCACGCGGTCAGACTGCCCTCAGGGCATTCCATATTCTTTCTCTCTCTCTCTCTCTCTCTCTCTGTCTCTCTCTCTCTGTCTCTCTTTCCATTTACGCCCACGTTTCGGCATCCCTTGAATTCCATTATGCCCCATTACCGGGCCGCCGTGGAATCGGCGCGTGAATCACACGCGTGCACACACGCTCGACACCCCTTCTTCTCTCGACTTCAGGCCTCCGGCGTCTCTTGGCTTCTTTTGCTTCATTTCACGCTCATCGCTCTTT